AATCAAGTAGCAAATATAATACACCAAGAGCTTGCAAACAAACACAACTTGGTAGACATGCACGAACCATACTACAAGTATATTCCACAGACAGTATTGGAAAACAACACGCACAAAATGTACTACGACAGAGCCATAATCACAGATAAAACAATTTACCACAACAGACCAGACATCACACTCATTGACAAATACAATAAAATCACATACATTATAGACATAGCCATTCCAAACACTCACAATGTACAAAACACATACACTGAAAAAATTACCAAGTACACAGAACTTGCCCAGGAAATAAGGCATCTGTGGAGGATGGATAGAATGCTTATTGTATCTGTCGTTCTCTCCTGTACAGGTAGGATACTACACACACTACACAAAAGCCTAGGAACATTACAATATTCAATTGAATAGAAATACATACATCACACTACAGAAGGCCACTATATTGAATACATGCCACATTGTTAGGAAATTCCTGAATACAGACACACACACTGACACACTTATTTAATTTTAGTTTTGTTTTGGTTGCTATGCCTTGACTTTGGTCTGGCATAGTACACAGCCACCGGTGTGAACCGAGTATAATTCACAAAACCCAACATAATAACAATAATAATCTCAGAGTTCAAATGGTCCCTGATGAGATCTAAGGATTACCCTGAAGAACTCCGTTTCTATTGTACTATTTTAGATGTGGTTTTTTGCGTTTTTATGAAAAATCAAACATACTTTTAGATCCATCCAAAAATTCTCTAATTAGTCTCAGAAGTGGGGGAACCTAATTCTTGCACCCAATGAAAATGGGTAAGATCAGCTATAATCTAATAATCTTAATCTTCGTTATTGTTGCTTTTTGCCTGTGCAACATCTGGCTCATCTGCTAGTTTTTTTTTTTTTATAAAACTCGTTTCTACCCTCAAAATTAAGTTTGAGTTCAAATATGAGTACAGACAAAAAAGGAAATCTTACAAAATTTGAAAATGATATTTACTATGCACTGGAAAAAATAAATCACATTGACCACTCTTCAAGTTTGCATGTTAAAACGGCAATACTGCACTATCCACACATTATCCAAGACACAGTATTGATTGTCACAGCATTGCCATCAACCAAGTTTCGGTAAAGCGTTTATTTTCTGCTCTTAAAATTATTAAATATGATTTAAGAGCTTCAGTAAATGCTGATTTAATAGACATGATTTTTTTTTTGTAAGGAGTAATTCAGTTTATAACAGAAATGAAAAATAATAAAATAATTAACATGGCAAAATAAGCAACCTTTTTCTTTATTTCTCATTCTTGACTAAGTTTAATGTATCTGTATACTTATATATTACCCAATATACTTGTATATTATGTACAATATTTTTATTAAACTAATTTGTTTGTGTTGAATGTATTTACTATTTTTATTCATACATGCTTACCAAATACCATTGCCATCATCAAACAAGTCAATAAATGTGTTCAGTAGATCTGTCAAATTTTAATGTTTAATTAGTTTTTTAAAATCGTTTTATTTTGTATTTTTTTAAAATAATCAGAATCATCATCATTATCTCTTTCCTGGCAGTTATACAGAATAGGCCTATAACAAAGGAAAAGAACGACGATCAGTCAAAAAGTGACTTTCCCAGATTTTTACTCTTTTGGACATTTGAAGCCTTGAAACGTAGAGAAGTGCAAAGGCATTCAGGTTTTTTCTGTATGCATGGATGTTAGAATGTGTTCCAACTGATCTAGTTCAACCATTTTGAAGCTTAATAACTGCTGTGTTAAACCATCCAACTCCAATTCAAAATCATGCCTCCCATACAATCTAACATTTGTACATACAGAAAAAAAACCTGAATCTTTTGCATATCTCAACATTTTGAGGTGTCCTGAGTCCAAAAATGTAAAAATATGGGGTAGGATCATTTTTTGACCAATCGCTACACTTTACCTCTGTTATATATAACATGGAACTGCCCGGACTACAATACACAAAGGCAGCGCTTGATCATCAAGGTTCAAGACAATAACGACTTATGGCCATGCAAAAGCAAAATTCTTATCAGCAACAAGCAGTACTACAATGCCTTAAAAGACTTTGCCTCAAGCATTAAGGTGCTCGACTAGGTGCTGTGGTAGGTTACCACCCCACAAGTCTTATGTGGTCTCTGTACTCGTGTAGGACTGTATTAATCACACATCATTGTTCAAATTCATAATCTATGGTTTTATAATCTATATAAGTTAATTTTTGTAATATATAATTTGTAATTTTTATAAATTTTATAAATTTTTATCTTTTGTAATCTTTTATCTTTTATAATCTTATATTTTGTGATTTTGTAATCTTATAATTTTATAACTTAGTGATTTTGTGATTTATAATTGTATAATTTGTACTTCCCGGGCATCTTAATGTAAACTGCATCACTTATTGTTACTTTTATTTGGCATTTCTACTCTCATTGTATTCGTATCTACCTTGTACAGTACATGTAACCATTTTCTCATTGCATTTATCTATGTATAACTGTATGATGTATTACCTCGAAATTCTAATATGCTAACCAAGTGTCGCGCCAACAATCCATTGTAAATTCTCATTGCTTAATTGTCCATACTGCCAATCATGTATGTATTCGTCTTATTTTTAATAAATGCGATGCAGGCGCCCATGATTCTCCCACTTACCCTACTCTATCCTATCTTACTTTTTTTTTTTCACCTTCGCCTTAACTCGTCAAACTTTTCCTTCCTTCTTTTTCCGGTTCTGGGGCTATACCTTTGAGTGCGGCCCATCACCAACCCCCCTCACAATGTTATATATAACAGCCAGATAAATAAAAACTATCGAATGCATTTTTATATATTGACTATTTCATTACTTATAGTAGTATTTTAGCTTCAGAATAAAAAAGTTTCTACATTCTATCTTTATTAGAACTATATTTATTGAAGCTTATATTCTGAGGTCACATGATGACATCAGAATTTTCAGGCCTACTTTGTTAATAAGTCTGTACCTGGTCAGAATCAGAGTTGAATGGTAAAGAAAAGTTAGAGTCGGAGTCAGAGTTGGAATCTTGTAAAAATCTACCGATTCCACAGCCCCGATATAAATAAAAAACATTTCTGATGGTTTTGTTCTTAGACTTAATTTATTTATACAAATATATTTTATTTAAACTCTGTCATCAAAAACAAGCAAAATTATATGAAATTCAGACAATATTAGTAATACAAGTCTGAATTTGATTTTGGATAATCCATCAAAAAACTTACAATTAGTTATTGCAAAAAACTAAGAAAAACAATACAAGAAAAGAAACATTTTAAAAAATAAATTATATATAGGCACAATTTGTTAAATGTTTGTCTACGAGGACTAAGCTTATTAATAGGATATATTGCACTGGTGTTTTGCACAGGTATAATTACAGGGTAAAAAATAAAGATTGATTGTTCCTTTGAATAAGTTTTTTCCTCAATTGCAAAAACCAAAACACCAGTGCAATACATCCTATTAATAAGCTTAGTCCTCGTAGACAAACATTTAACAAATTGTAGAAAATAAGGACATAGAGGCATATGAATTAATATATATATATATAGGCTACATTTAAAATAATTGTTAACGAAGGCAGTACTTCTTCCCTATGGCTTTACATATATAATTAATTAATAAAGAATGAAATAATGTTTAATATTTAAGTAAACATGACATTGCACTTACCACAACATTTAATTCTTTAATAATAACATCTGAACCAGCAGGACTCAAAGCCACCATATGAATAGGAAATTTCTGATCTTTTAAAGGAACAACAGGAAAACCAACGTTTCCTGCTGAATTACCTTCAACCCAAATTTTTTTACGTTCACTTTTCTCTCCTGCTTGCACTCCTGTACAAAGGTTTTCAACACCGTACATATAGACAGTAACCTATAATAAAATTATACGTAAATATTTATTAAAAATAAACTTTTAGTTATTACATAGTTTAATTTTGATTTTTTTCTTTCATGTTTAATATTAAAAATTTATCATAATACATTCCAAAGGCTGCAATACAAAATAATAAGAATTTGTTATTTTCTCTCATCCTAATCTAATGACAGATTATTGTATTAATAAAAATGCTTGCTTGGGATCTTGAATAAAAATAATTATATGTGTTTATATATTTTTTTTTAATAAGCTTTGCTATTGCTTCTGGTTTTAGTTTATTTTTTACAAACAACATATTGTTTATCACTTTTGCAACAACAATATGGAATTCAAATAATAAAAATATCCTGTCATATACAATCTACATATTCATAGAATATTTATTTATCATTCAGGTTAATGCCATTATAGAATATTAAAAAAACTTTCCCATCCTTGTGTGAGAGACCAAATAAGATGAAAATTTTAATTAACTGCAAGAAAATATATCAAATTTGTTTAAATTAATGCTTAAATCTCGCATATTGTATAAAGAAAAATTTTCCCAACACAAAGAAAAAACTGGAAGGATGTGATCACATCCTTCCCCAGATCTACTTCCTTTCCCATGGTCACACATCTTCCGAATGTGTGTCATCAGGAACTTTCATCCAAAATTCACCTTTTGGTCAAAATAACTTAACATGGTCAAAAATGGGCATTGAAATCTAGGGAGAGGACCCCCAAAATAAAAGACGAGCATCAGAACCAANCCCCCCCGCGTTGGAATTTCGAAAAATCCTTTCTTAGTGTGCGTTTCCATGACGTACCCTAACTGTGTACCAAATTTCACCTCTTTAGGTTAAGCGGTTTGCTCTGGGCGATGATGAATCAGTGAATGAATGAGTGAGTCAGTCAGGACAAGCAATTTTATATATTTAGATAGGCTACATTTAAAATAATTGTTAACGAAGGCAGTACTTCTTCCCTATGGCTTTACATATATAATTAATTAATAAAGAATGAAATAATGTTTAATATTTAAGTAAACATGACATTGCACTTACCACAACATTTAATTCTTTAATAATAACATCTGAACCAGCAGGACTCAAAGCCACCATATGAATAGGAAATTTCTGATCTTTTAAAGGAACAACAGGAAAACCAACGTTTCCTGCTGAATTACCTTCAACCCAAATTTTTTTACGTTCACTTTTCTCTCCTGCTTGCACTCCTGTACAAAGGTTTTCAACACCGTACATATAGACAGTAACCTATAATAAAATTATACGTAAATATTTATTAAAAATAAACTTTTAGTTATTACATAGTTTAATTTTGATTTTTTTCTTTCATGTTTAATATTAAAAATTTATCATAATACATTCCAAAGGCTGCAATACAAAATAATAAGAATTTGTTATTTTCTCTCATCCTAATCTAATGACAGATTATTGTATTAATAAAAATGCTTGCTTGGGATCTTGAATAAAAATAATTATATGTGTTTATATATTTTTTTTTAATAAGCTTTGCTATTGCTTCTGGTTTTAGTTTATTTTTTACAAACAACATATTGTTTATCACTTTTGCAACAACAATATGGAATTCAAATAATAAAAATATCCTGTCATATACAATCTACATATTCATAGAATATTTATTTATCATTCAGGTTAATGCCATTATAGAATATTAAAAAAACTTTCCCATCCTTGTGTGAGAGACCAAATAAGATGAAAATTTTAATTAACTGCAAGAAAATATATCAAATTTGTTTAAATTAATGCTTAAATCTCGCATATTGTATAAAGAAAAATTTTCCCAACACAAAGAAAAAACTGGAAGGATGTGATCACATCCTTCCCCAGATCTACTTCCTTTCCCATGGTCACACATCTTCCGAATGTGTGTCATCAGGAACTTTCATCCAAAATTCACCTTTTGGTCAAAATAACTTAACATGGTCAAAAATGGGCATTGAAATCTAGGGAGAGGACCCCCAAAATAAAAGACGAGCATCAGAACCAACACCAAGAGTTTGCCGACCTCCGCACTGATCCTTTTGACAACCCTTCACTGTAGACGCCTTAGAAATGAACTTTTTGATTGTGAACTGTAACCTCAAGCACCCTATCTCTACCCAACCAGGAAACCTCTCCACCCTGTCATCAGGACATTTTACAATTTCAAGACTTCAATCAAGCCGATTTGACTGATCAAGGTATTTATTCTCACATGAAGAAATGAAAGCTCTCTCTCGGCTAACTTAGTAAAGTAACAAAAAATACTACGCTACCGAAGCTTTATTCATTTTATGATGCTAGAACACTATAACATTATCTTATGTATACGTGTAAATAATTTAATTATATACAAAAATAAATGGGTATTTTTAAGTAAGTTGTAGCGTGCACATCTTTCAACCACATTGTCTCTCAGGACGTTCCAACTCCTGAATCTGACTGTTCACGCGTGAACAAATGAATTGCCATCACCGATCCCGACATAGGCATCACCAGTCTGGTGCCGACCCTTTGGTCACATTTGTAATGCTGAGGAAAAACTCCTAAATAGCTTTTATGCAAATCAACTAATTTACAAAAATATAAAATAGAAACTATAATTAAGCTGTGGTGTTATTACATCATGTATTATCATCATATATAATAATGATATATTTCAGTTTATTTGAAATATTATTTACCAATAATAATAATGCCACGAATGCTTGGCTAATAAGATCTGAAATATATTTTATTGTATCTTCTGTAAAATATGCAAAAAGATAAATCATATTTTCTCTCAAACAATTTATATTACAGTAGTACTAAATAATAAATATTTTAAATAAACAGTAAATCAACAAATCAAATAATTTAATAAATGTCAAATGATCNAATAATAATAATAACTCTCCCATGGTCACCACCTGGTCGTGGTGGGAGAGCCAAGTAATTTTACTGAACCATAGAGCAATGCAGGCTGAAGCGCAAGCTCCTGGTAGGGACACCCATGCCAGTAAGGTCTATGGGGAGAAATGAAGCTAAGAGTGACCACACCCACATTCTGTGGAGATAATTATCATGGTAGTAACCAAATCAAAGTGTGATACCGGCTCGGACATCGCCCAGGTTAACAAGGTCCGCGTTCGTGGGTTAGGCAGAGGCTCATGTTCGAAAAATAGGCCGCAGTCTCCCTTGGTTACCGGTGGCAAAAGCAGCGCCGGCCCAAGCATGGCTACTGCAATGCCCTCAACAGATGTGAGGAACCAACCTAGCCTTGGTGTTTCTGTGGCAATGCATCCACAGACCACAAAGGCTGGAAAACCATGCCAATGAATGAAATGGATATCAGAAATGAACGAGTTTATCATCTGTACTTACTACACAATCACAAAACTCGAAACAAACATGACAGCATACAGACAACAACTACACCATAGATTCACACAACAATATCCTCACCTCACTGTCACAACATAACACCCAAATTAAAGAAACAACTCAATAACATTTTCAAGAAAATCAAAACACACACAAAACATGAACATCACAACACACACATTACAGAATACATCAATACACTAAAACAGAAACTCGCAGCCAAAGCACGTAGACTCAAACGATACAAAACATGTACACTACGAAAACAACAAAATAAATTATTCACAAACAATGAAAAACTTTTCGACAGACAAAATCAGTACCAAAACAAACACTGATACACAACACAGTGGCACACCAACAGAAGAAGAACTCACAACTTATTGGTCTTCTCTTTGGTCCAATGCTGTTACACACAATGCTCAAGCAGGCTGGATCGAAGAGAACAGAAACTTGCACAACATACCAACTATGCCCTGTGCTGAAATAAATGTACACGACATCCGCTACGCTGTTAACAGAACACACAACTGGAAGACACCTGGTGTAGACAACATTCACAATTTCTGGTACAAAAAGTTTACATCACTGCACCAGGAACTAGCTAAACATCTAACACANTTACAAAGCTAAGTCACTTCATAATAATGTACTCAATATACATAAATTTCTCTTTATGTACACCGAGAAGAGAGATGTAGAAGCAATTAATTCTGACAAAAGTTTCACAGACAATTGTGATATATATTTCTAAATTCTTAAATTTAAGTCATATAACAGCAATTCATTAGCTTAATACCAAAGTTATATTTCATTAAAACATTAAAATTTTTGAAGCATGTTTCATCACAGACGAAACAAACAAAAATTGTCAAAAAAGTCAAAAATTAAAAGAAAAAAATGAAATGTTTTTAAATTAATGTGTTTTTGTATTGGATTATATGAACATATTACTGATGTAACTAAAATGCTGAAATATATAAAGGAATTGCACTGATTTTATAAAAGACAGTAAAACATCATTTTACAAACTTAATTTGTTCCTAAAAGTTATTCGGAAACCAATCTGTTCTCAAGCTGAAACAAATTTTCAGTTTGAGAACAATGAAAAATGAATTAATCCATTACTAACCCCAAAACAAAACTTTCTTTTTTACCGTTTTAGGTGTATTTCATGCATAAAATGCTTATAAAGGCAATATAATAGACTATTATATATATTACTTTATCTATATATATACTTACATTTATTCTATATATATATATATATATATTAACCTTTTGTCAGGTGCAACCTGTCCTCAAGATGGTATTTTTTTCTTATAGACACCATTGCTTCCAAATGCATGTGATCAGCTTGAAGAGAGGAGTATTCTCAAAGGGATGTCTGTACTAAACAATACCAGAGTGTAGAGTGTTTTGATTTTGGAAAACAGTTACTTTTTTCAGAAGAAATACAGTATAACCCATCCTTATTATATATTACACCTGCTTATGTTATGTGGATGTGTGGAAAAGATGTAAGTAATTCTTCCACTTTTTTCTGCTATTTTTATTTTCCTTATCTTACTTTTGTTAGTAAACATTAAGAATTATAAAAATTTTTATTATTGACTAAAACTAAACATTTATCTGTATTATAGATAATTAGTAAATTATAAGTTATAACAATTACTTTATGTTTGTGTTTTAGTACTTTTTACTAAAAAAATAGATTGGTTCATTTCTACTTGTTTATACAACTTTCATGCTTTTAATTGCAAGTATGATATTTTTATAGACTCATACAACTACAAGACATGCCTTGCATTCTTCAAAATCATTCTAAGGAGAAGAAGCAAAATGCCAAAACTACTATAAAAGATTAAAGAGAAAGCACCATAGATGCAAAAAAAGTTTTAGAAAGTTATCATGAAAGTGAAGCACGATGTATGGTTCCAATGATGTTGACTGTAGTAGTGCTCAAAGTAATGATATGTTATATTGTATTTTTACTGTATTTTCCTTATTTATTTGTATTTTTTTCATGTATATATTATTTTTTCAAATAAATAATTATAACATATGATAATGAAGAAAAATTATGGTAAATAATAATTAACCTAAAAGAAAAAATTGTCCATCCCCAGGATGGGTTGCACTGCTTGTTTTAAAATACAGATCATGCCTGACAAAATGTTAACACAGCTTTTATTAATTAATTTGATCTAAATTCAACTGTGGTGCATACTGAAAAATGAAAATAGTATCTTTTCTCAAGTGCATTGAAATGTAACTTAAATAGCAACATCATTGATGATTCATTAAGTGATACGAGGCAATCTTGATGTATATAGATAAATAGTAGTTTGATTTAGTTCTTCCAATTATTTATTTTGATGAAATATCTGATGAATGGATGTTATACTTTGAAAATGTTATAATAAAATAATAAAATATAACTTTTACATTAAACTAATGACGTTCTATAATATTTCTGAGATACAAGTAATTGTGTTGTTCATTATTCATTCAATAAACTGTATTTTTGAATCTCATGTTATGAATCATGTGAAAAATTATAGGTAGTAATACCATATGAACCCTAAATAATTGTGTAGAACTCCACTAATTTTAATNATATAATAATAAGTTTCATAAAAAATGATAAAATGTAAATTTAATTTTATCATAACGAGTTTGCTTGAATTTCATTTCTTCTGAGATCGCAGCAATGCGCGACGAGTAAGCTAGTTTGGCATAAATGTTTTAATTATAATGTTATATCACCATTTTAAAACAATCAGAGAAAATTTAAATTACAGATCAACACATACTATAAAATATTAATTAAAAAAATACTTACAGGTATTGTTTCTGGATTATAATTGAAAATAGTAGCTTGTATTTCTACTTGTTCATTACGAACAACAGAATATGGAATATTCAAATGAATGAAAACATTTTTAAATGACACAATTTCTTTTGGTTCTGATATGCACATTCCCCACTGATCAGATAAACTAATAGCTTGAATAACCCATGTTGTAATGCTGTGTGGTAAACTTGTCGTCACTTCAGTTGTTCTATCAGGCCTAAGAGTAATGTAAATTTAATAAATTCATTTTATAAAAGTCAAAAATTAATACTTCAAATTAAATGATTCATTTATTTTAGATTATTATTCAAAATTTAAAAAATACATATGTTTAATTAACTCAATACATCACTTAGTTTATTATCCTAAATGTTTTACATTGATTAGGAATTGACAAAATTCAATCCTTTCGTAATAAATGAAATATATTTCCTTTATTATGTTGTCATGCGTTAATTGACACCTTACACAGATTAAACCCAGATGTGTCAGCCTACCCTGAATATATGGAGCTGCTTGCAAACTTGATATGTTTCCAATCATTCTTCAGCTTTGAAGGCAAGATATATAGCAGTGCCTATGGGCAGACTGATGATAGTTCTACACAGATTAGAACAGATTACTATTAGGAATTTTAGAGAGGATATAATCTTATACAAAAGATATGTGGATGATGTATTCATTTTATGGAAGGATGACAGAATACAATATGTTTTGAATTCCAACAAAGATGGTTTAAAACTAAAATTAGATCAACTTAGTACAACAGAAGTGCATTTTTTGGACATTGGCATTTCATTTGAGAATGGTTCCTTAAGCACAAGGTATATATCATGCCCACCCATAATCCATTATACATTTCTTCCTCCTCCAATGATCCATACATGTATAAGCTTTCAGCATTTACAGTTCTTATTAGAAGGGCATTCCATTATTGCTCCAATGTGTACGACAGGTTGCAAGAATTGAATAGGATCAGAACCATTGATAGAACCTTGGGATTTGGAGCAAAAGTTATTGAAGAGTTAATAAGCTCATACTCAGATCCTAACAGAAAGAAGACAAAGCAGAATATGAACAAAGAAGTTACTAAGTTTACTAATAACAGAGGAATGTCCAATATCATGGAAGAAATTGCAGACTACAAGAATACAAGATTACTATACAAAAGGGCTCCCACAGTTTATAATTTGCTTAAAAATGACAAAGATACGATCAAAAAGGAAGAAAAATTTGAGGTATACAAAATGCCATATAAAAATGATCAATTAGGCCTGAACAAAAAATATATAGGTGTCATCACCAGGAATTTCAGCAAAAGGCTTAAAGAGCATATATACAATGTAAACAAAGGGTACTATACTATGGCACTATACAAAGTAGCACAAACAGAGGGTTTGGTTGTTGAATGGAATGAGGCTAAGATTTTTAGACCGGTGCGCTCACCATCTTTAGCAATGATTGTAGAAAAGTTTGAAATACAGTGGAACCTCGGTATACGACCTTAATCCGTTCCTGGTGTTTGGACTTATACCGAATAGGACATATACCAAACCAAGCTTTCCCATAAGAAGTAATGTAAAAATGATTAATCCGTTCTCATGTAAAAAAAAATGCAGGTTTTAAACACCTCACTTTCCTGGCTAGTTCCTGCTTATTTTTCATGAGATCAGCGTGTATCTTTTTAGCTTTCTCGCAAATAATTGCTTCTGATACGCTGTTGCCAGCACACTGTTTTTCAATTATCCAAAGCAAAACCAATTTCTCGACATAATCTAATATCTTCGATATCTGTTTAGAAATTGATTTAACCCCTTTCGCAACGTTAGCAGATTTAATAATGTCTTTATTTTTCATGACTGTCAATATCGTCATTCTTGGAATACGATATTAAATCTCGAACACGCATGCCACCTTCATATTTCTCAACAATTTCTTTTTTCAGTTCCATTGTGATTCTAGTAAATTTTTTTAGTTTTCTGTTGCTTTTCATTTGCCTTTTTGCAATTCATGATTAATAAAAATAATAAAATTTTTCTTGAAAATTAAAATCAGAAGAAATTTAACAAAGTTATAAACCGTGGCAAAAGTCATATACCGAGCAAAATTTGCTTCGTCCAAACAGGACGTATTCCGAATTGGACGTATTCTAAAGCAGACGTATACCGAGGTACCACTGTATATAGATCCAGCTGTACTGCCAAGTGTTTAAACCACAAAGATGCCACAGGATTACCATCAGCATGGAAATTTTATGATAAAAAATAACGTAGTAAAATATAATAAGTAACACGCACTTGGTCAATATAATTATGTATATTGTGTTAGTATATTTGTATTTTATTTTATTTTATTCCATGTATTAGTTCAATTTAACATATTTATACTATTTGTTACATTTTTAATATATTTGATATTTCAACGAGATGTTCAAAACAGTTATAAAAAGTTTGATTTTCTTTTCACATAATCGTTCGAACCTGGAACCAATACAAAAAACGTTCAGGAGAATTCAAAATACCTGATGATAGCCTGTAGATCAGGTTAAAAACGTTTGTAAAACGATATTGGTTCTCAGAGACCTAAGGTGTGTGTGTCATAGTATTCTTTTAAATCCATAATCACAAGTATCACAAGTAGAGAGTAACAGTATAATATTAGATGTTAACTATATTATTTAGGATATTTTCTCTGATTTTCCCACACATCTTTGTATTTTCAAAATTCAAAAATTAATCTTATAACAAATTGCAATATTCTACTTTCAAAATTACTATATGATCTACTATGTGATGATGTTATATCAACTCTGTAAACAACACTATATGAACAAATTCAGTAAATCTTTGGCATTGTATTGTAAACTATTAGAAATAAATGTGCTCTTTCTGAAAGCTAAAATTTATTTTTCAATAAATGAAACCTAACTACACTCAACTATGTTGTAAACTTAATACTATCATCTTTATTTAGAGTTTAGTTTTAGTCTTATTATAGTAATTTTAATAGATTTAAATAAATAATTTTTAAAATTTTGTTAATAAATAATTTATTTTAATTCATTTTTTCATCAAATTTCATAAAAGTGAAGTAGCTTTCACTAATCCAAATTTGCACTAATCCAGACTTAGCTTAATCCAAATCAATTTTGTTCATTTGTTTTGCCAAAAACACAAAAGCAATCATAAGTTATTTTTAAAAATGTGATGTAAATTTAAACTTTAGTACACATTTTACCATAATTATATGTATCAAATATAGTATAAACAATACTTAAAGATAAATGTATTTGTCCAGATACAAATCCTGGAAAGTAATGAGGCAATTACCCTTCTCCAAGACATTTTATTATAAATGCAAGTTTTTATTATGTGTATAGTATAATTTTTGAATTTATTTCTGTAATGAAATTTAGCATGACTTAAAATGGATGTTAAAACCTGTTTTCAAAATGACTTTAAAAAATTAAGCATAATTTTGGTAAAACTTTCTGTGGCAATTATAAAATATAATTAATATTGTTTATTTTATTGCATAATTTAAAAATTTTACTTTTAGATTTGGTCTTCAATCAATTCCACTATTTGTCTATAGTTCTTTTTTTCACTCCCGTTTCTTTGTAGCTAAGCTAATTTGAATTTTCCACTAGTCCAAACATCTTAATACAATAATTAGTTCAGATTAGTGAAAGTGCACTATACATGGTCTTCCAAATAGAATTCTACCATTTTAAATTATTGTAATTAGGTTAATTATTACCTGAGAACATTAAAACATTGGAAAACTTCCAAGTTTCACATTTGCACATTACAATTTCTCAATGCATGCACTTCTTGTCACATGGCATAGGTCCAACCAATACTCAAATTCTTACTACATTCGCTACAGAATATCTGTTGTCACTCTTCTCATAGCAGCTCTACAGCCCCTGCAGATTACTTATGTTGCACAATGATGAGTGAACTGCAGAACAAAAAATGCTCTGTGAACTGCAGAACAAAAGAACCGCAGAACTTCTCAGTTGCAGAATCGTCATTTTTGTTTATAATACTTCCTAGAAGTAGATGACAAGATGTTCGTATACAGATGTGTATTTGGACAGTAACTCTATCGATTGGTGTACACTGCATACTTCTCAGATAATAATTAACATAATGTGACCAGAGGGTTAGCATCTCTTTAGTGCCTTGTCAGGACTGACACCACCGTGACTCGTTGACACGGAAGCTGAGATGGTGTGTTGATTCAGATTAGACGAGTGGTTGCATACGCGGGTGATCGGATTCCAAATGGAGATGGGTTGAGAGCCAGCATACCAGAAGAGAATCACTTGGATGCCATTTTAACAACTAATAACAATTTAATTTCAAAGAAAACATGATAAAATTTACAATTTTGTTAGATATTAGCTTTAAGAGGCCTATAGACAAAAGAGTTGTGAGAGAGAGAAAGTTTACATGAGGTTCACATGGCAATAAATACCTGTAGTTGAAGGATCTGGTTGTAGTCTTGATGTAGGACAGTTCTGGACAATGTATATCCAACTAGTCAGTGAGGTAAATGTTTTTTTCTGGGAGTAGATTTGGTGTCAATGGAATCTCAAATTATTTGGGGTTTTGACGACGAAGTTATTCCAATTCGGAGGCAATTTGGGTCCGAGTCAATAGTATAATCCATTTTGGAGGCACAAAGTATTGGTTGAGGAACTGGCGATGATTATCCTTAGGGTTTGCCTGGCAACTTCTTATCTTGGGAAGAACTAAATGGCGACTGACTCTTCGGCCGTTAATTATGCTATAAGCATGATATCGTCTGGCCAAGAGGTCAGCAGGTTACAGGAATGCATCGTTTTTGCTGTCAAGAAAGTGTAAGTGGAGATTCTATCAGGTAGTAGATGACAACAATTATTGAACAAGTATGATGACATCGACAACCGATTTTTGTTAAAGTTCAGATTCTCATAATAATTACAGTAATTTAAAATGGTAGCATTTATTTTGGAAGACACTATATTTTTTATAAATAAAATCTGAATTCCATCAATACTGTAGTCATATGATATTTTATATGCTGCTTTAATTCTTATTTTCTTAGTTAATTATAATTTTCTTAGTATGAAAACACTTTAAATTGTAAAACAATAAAAACTATATCAACTATCATTAGCAAAAACCTTACAAAAAAATGAGTTGATAGTTAATATTTATTGACTATTGATAATTGTGAAATATACATGTCCAAACAAACTCTGAACAAAAATTCGTTAACACAGAATGCTGGTATAATTTCCTACTAGCCAGTTATTGAATTACTATTCATATAATAAATTATATGGAAATTTTAATCTTTTATAGTATACCAGAAAAAAACTAAACTCAAGTAATATCTAAACTGTATATTTTTGAAAAATAATTTAACAACATCCATTGACTTACCCAATTATATAATCTTTAAATAACCAGGTTTCTCTGAAATCTCTACGGACCAATGTTCTTTCAAAATCAGCTTCCTCAGCTTCATCAACAAACTCAAGACCTTCAAGTACACCACCAGTTGCCCTACTCAAATCACTCGGATGAAGTTCTTTATTAGATTCTAAAATCAATAAAAATAATTATATTTATAAAAGTTTAAGTTTATAAATTTTTTCTTCTGTTTTATTGTTCTTAACTAAATTCAAATATATTTATATTTTCATGTTTTTCTTTAAAATATTCATTTGAAATAGCCTTTAATAAAGATGAAAATATTTGTGAATTAAACAATTCTGTTTAATATTTTTTTTGTATTTTCCAACTTAATCTATTTTAAAACTTTATTTCATTATATTATTAAAAAGTCTTATCATGATTTTGAATCTCATGTTATGAATCATGTGAAAAATTATAGGTAGTAATACCATATGAACCCTAAATAATTGTGTAGAACTCCACTAATTTTAATAAATAATACAAAGTAATTTGCTACTAGAGGTAGACGTTAGTAAATTAGGTTAGTAAATAGATAGTAAATTTATAAATATTTTTTGACTAATTACTGTTTCATTATCAGTGGATTTTAGAAGAATACTATATTTTCAACTCAATTAATAAGTAATCTTAAAGTGTTAAAAGTCAAAAGTGGAGTGCTAGTGTTAGAAGGAAGCCCAAAGAGATAGATGTGTGTAAAGTAAACAAGCAGAAAAGATTGTTTATGACATTGGCACACTGATTGCTGATTTTATCCGAATCTACGTATTTGTCCTTCCTAATGACATAGTACTCTACTTTTCACTTTTGATAGCTGAGAATGATCCATTGAGTCAATGATCCAAATGTTGGCATTCTTTTAAAATCCCACTGGTAAAAGTGCAATAATTAGTTCAGTAAGTTATCACAATGGCTACTATATCATTTTCATTATAAAAATTTGTTTACAAAGCTAAGTCACTTCATAATAATGTACTCAATATACATAAATTTCTCTTTATGTACACCGAGAAGAGAGATGTAGAAGCAATTAATTCTGACAAAAGTTTCACAGACAATTGTGATATATATTTCTAAATTCTTAAATTTAAGTCATATAACAGCAATTCATTAGCTTAATACCAAAGTTATATTTCATTAAAACATTAAAATTTTTGAAGCATGTTTCATCACAGACGAAACAAACAAAAATTGTCAAAAAAGTCAAAAATTAAAAGAAAAAAATGAAATGTTTTTAAATTAATGTGTTTTTGATTATATGAACATATTACTGATTGTGTGATATAATGTGATTGGATTATATGAACATATTACTGATGTAACTAAAATGCTGAAATATATAAAGGAATTGCACTGATTTTATAAAACACAGTAAAACATCATTTTACAAACTTAATTTGTTCCTAAAAGTTATTCGGAAACCAATCTGTTCTCAAGCTGAAACAAATTTTCAGTTTGAGAACAATGAAAAATGAATTAATCCATTACTAACCCCAAAACAAAACTTTCTTTTTTACCGTTTTAGGTGTATTTCATGCATAAAATGCTTATAAAGGCAATATAATAGACTATTATATATATTACTTTATCTATATATATACTTACATTTATTCTATATATATATATATATATATTAACCTTTTGTCAGGTGCAACCTGTCCTCAAGATGGTATTTTTTTCTTATAGACACCATTGCTTCCAAATGCATGTGATCAGCTTGAAGAGAGGAGTATTCTCAAAGGGATGTCTGTACTAAACAATACCAGAGTGTAGAGTGTTTTGATTTTGGAAAACAGTTACTTTTTTCAGAAGAAATACAGTATAACCCATCCTTATTATATATTACACCTGCTTATGTTATGTGGATGTGTGGAAAAGATGTAAGTAATTCTTCCACTTTTTTCTGCTATTTTTATTTTCCTTATCTTACTTTTGTTAGTAAACATTAAGAATTATAAAAATTTTTATTATTGACTAAAACTAAACATTTATCTGTATTATAGATAATTAGTAAATTATAAGTTATAACAATTACTTTATGTTTGTGTTTTAGTACTTTTTACTAAAAAAATAGATTGGTTCATTTCTACTTGTTTATACAACTTTCATGCTTTTAATTGCAAGTATGATATTTTTATAGACTCATACAACTACAAGACATGCCTTGCATTCTTCAAAATCATTCTAAGGAGAAGAAGCAAAATGCCAAAACTACTATAAAAGATTAAAGAGAAAGCACCATAGATGCAAAAAAAGTTTTAGAAAGTTATCATGAAAGTGAAGCACGATGTATGGTTCCAATGATGTTGACTGTAGTAGTGCTCAAAGTAATGATATGTTATATTGTATTTTTACTGTATTTTCCTTATTTATTTGTATTTTTTTCATGTATATATTATTTTTTCAAATAAATAATTATAACATATGATAATGAAGAAAAATTATGGTAAATAATAATTAACCTAAAAGAAAAAATTGTCCATCCCCAGGATGGGTTGCACTGCTTGTTTTAAAATACAGATCATGCCTGACAAAATGTTAACACAGCTTTTATTAATTAATTTGATCTAAATTCAACTGTGGTGCATACTGAAAAATGAAAATAGTATCTTTTCTCAAGTGCATTGAAATGTAACTTAAATAGCAACATCATTGATGATTCATTAAGTGATACGAGGCAATCTTGATGTATATAGATAAATAGTAGTTTGATTTAGTTCTTCCAATTATTTATTTTGATGAAATATCTGATGAATGGATGTTATACTTTGAAAATGTTATAATAAAATAATAAAATATAACTTTTACATTAAACTAATGACGTTCTATAATATTTCTGAGATACAAGTAATTGTGTTGTTCATTATTCATTCAATAAACTGTATTTTTGAATCTCATGTTTAAACACTACAAAAAATCATTAAATAAATAATTATAACTTATTTAAGATTATTCTTAAATCTAGTTATAATAAATTTATGAATAGAACTAAGAAAATTTATGTTTATCTATTTTATTTTATTTCATAATTTATAAATGTTTGACTTTAAAATTTTGAAAAATCCTTTTCTATCTTTCAAGTGCCTCAATATAAATTATACTTTAAAAACTTTTATCAAAAGCATTTTGTCTTTAATATATCTTAAATTTATACAATTGTTTAGTCATTATTTAAAGATTTTGAATGAAGGAGTTCCAAGTGTAATTTTTATTTCTGATGAAAAATTAAATTTATAAGATTTTAAAATAAATTTTTAATGTTTTCAGCCTAAAAAATGATGTCATATAATTTTCTAAATATTCTACAAGCTATAGGAATTTAATTTAATTTAATTTAATTCCTATAGCTTTTCTATATTAAATTCCTATATTAAATTAATTTAATTAAATTAAATTCCTATAGCTTGCATTGCTTGCAATTAAATTACATTTGTATTAATGTTAACTTAAAATATATTAAATTATCATTATCCTTCTTTATCCTAACTACTATTGATTTTAAAATTATTTCTTTTACCATCAGTTGATGCTAATAATTGAGGTGCTAATTTTAAACAACAGTTTAAGAAAGTTTCAATACAAGTATTGTTTTCTTCATTTTCTTTGACATGAATTTTAAGTAATTCGGCTCGTTCTTCACATGAGCGCTTATGCTTGTCCAAAAGTGTTCCCAGGAAACAACATTTTTTCTGATCGTCATCATCATGGCTGTCAACTTTATTAAATAAACAAATAAGCATTTAAATTTATTTTATTACAATTTATTAAAAAAAAAATTAATTTATATAATTAAATATATATTGTTTAAATAAATTTTGCTGATATTATTTAATTAATGAAATTAAATCTAAATGCAAACTTGCAATTCATAGAATCAAAGCTGGATTGGTATAATGCCATTTTCTACAGTACAAAAAATAATACAAATTTCAACATACAGATTTTATATATTTAAAGATACTTAAAATATTCTGTAATATTTTAAGAAAGAAAATTCTACTCTTTTATGTTTATTATTTTTTCATAGTTGAATTTATATATTAAAACTTCATTTATAATTTCCATTTTTTGATTTTGAAATTTTAATGAAACATTTCAATAAAACGCCTTTTATATTTTTAATATTCTACAAATATTTAATAAAATAAGAAGAAAAATACGAAATTCAGGAAGCCAAAACAAATGTTTCTTAATCATAAATGCTTTTATTCTTTTAAAAGAAATCATTAGCTTTAAAATTATAAGTGTGTTTTTATAAATTCAAAATTTTCCAAAGTGAATTAAAGCAAATTAAAAAATATTTTTAAATTTAAAATTACAAGAAAATTTAATAAAATGAAAATAAATTAAAACCAAAAGAAATTTAAACATGAAATAAACAAAAAGAATTAAATATAATGGTACAATATTAAGTGAAGATTCATTCCCACCAACACTACATGACTTCAACAAACACTTCTCTCCATAATATATTGACGTCATGCATATTTTATAAAGTGGTCAAATAAAAAGTTTATTTGCAAAGAATAAATTTGGCAATGCAGTGAACCAACCATGCTTGTTATGCTCTATTATATGTTATAAGAGAAACATTTGTCTTAAATATTTATTTATTTGGATTCAAAAGACAACAAATTCGAAACTCCTTGCAAATAAATATATTTGCAAGGAGTTACTTTGCTGTGAGATAGTCTACCAAAAGGATTAAAGAGACAAAAAATTCACAAATAAATATATTGTTTAATCATTCTGCATTTTGAAATCTTTAACAGCATTTCAAATAAATTTAAACAATCAAATTAATTCTTCAGAAATCTAGACAATAAATTTTGCTAATTATAAATGAATTTTTAAATACAGTAAAACCTCGTTTAATGCGGGGGATGAGTTCCTAGACAATAAAGCGCTGAGCGAAACAGTATTAAATGAGGGCATTTTAACATAGAGTAAATAGGGATAGGGGAACATGTGACCAAAAATAAACAAATTTTACTTTAATTTTAAGTTATTTTTATATTGATTTGTATAATAATATACATTAAATAACACATAAACATATGCACACAGAAATGTAAAGTTCATTTTTTTGTAATGAAGGTCCTGATTTTTCTGAAATTCTTGTTCTTTTGCAATAAAGTTATTAAGTTTCAATTGTCGCTTTTTTCTTTCCTTAAGCAAATGTCGAAAGCAGAAGATCGCATCCAAAACGCCTGGTTTCGCTTTTGCTCTCCTTTCAAAATCTGGATCATTCGCTACAATTTGATCGACGATTTCGGTTATCTTACATAACTTTTACTAAGGAAATCCGTAAAGAAATTTTTTGGGTTTTTCATTTTCAGGATCTCTATTTTTCCAGTTCCACACAAATTCCATGTTCTGCCTGTTCTTGAAGGTCGTCATTGGTAAGGCTCTTCCCAGAAACTTGCTGTAACTCCTCAATATCCTGCTCGACTATATCTCCTAGTCCGATATATCGATTAGGTTGAGTTTGGTCAACCTAACTGTACAGCGATAGGCTCTTCTCTTTGAGAATTCTTGGATACCTTCGGCCATAACTTCTTCCACACTTTATCAATTAATTCTTGCCAAGCCGAGTCGATATTTCCTATGGCATCCCTGGTGTTATATTTTTTCCAAAATTGCACTAAACAAACATAGATTTAAAGAAAGTACACCTTTTTACCTCCTTTTGCTAATTGGCTTGTGTTCGCAAATAATTGTATTTTACATGAAACAATGAAATGCTGCAATAATTTAAATCAGCATATATTTTGAGCTTTTTTAAGGCTTCGAGCAGACTGTGTTATATTGAATCAGCATTAAGCAAGGCAACGTTTAAGCAGGGTCTTACTGTATTTAAATATTAGAAAAGGCATACCCATGTCTTGAACAGCTTCTCTTTTTCTTCTTATCCTTTCTTCACATCGAAATGCTAAAATATATGAAATTATATAATATGATAAATAAATTTTAAAATCATATTTTAAAACTTACAAACTTTATAAAATAATATACAGTCGACCCCCCTATAACGTACGTTCCTATAACGACAATTCCTATAACGTAGCGAAAAAATTGTAGAAACTTTCGTATAAAGTACCTCCTATAACGTCGTTTCGCGACAAGATTGATAGAGTCTGGACCAATAGTGGATGAGCAGCCGAACTACTTTCCTCCAACCCTGCGCCACGCTACGGAGCGGCTAAATTGAGTTTGCTATCGTCTGTTTAGTATTATATATAAATTATATATAAATTAGGTACTGTACATATAATTATATATAAATTATATATAAATTAGGTACTGTATATATAATTATATATTAACTTAATTTATTGTAACTTTATTATAATTATATATATGCTTTCTGCCGCCTGGCAACACGCTACGGAGATTTTAGGCTAGTAAGTTGAGTTTATTATCGTCTGCACAGTATGTAAATTAGGTACCGTAAGTCTAATACAGCACTAATTTTATACATTTCTTGTGAAAGAAACACTTCTTATTCAACGTCCATAAAAATTATTTATATTAATGATGTCTCCAAAGGTCAAGTTATTTTTATGCGAAAAATTCGTTATTAGAAATCGCGGCCGCCGTTTAATGTGCTGTTCCGCAATGAAAACCAGCTTTAAGCAACGGCGTAGTCGAACGGTACACACTCAGTAAGTAATCCTATAATTTTTTGTTTATAGCATAGGAAATACGGATTACTCCCAAAAAATTATACGTGTTTTGGAAATGTTGAGTTGAATTAGTCTAGAATCAATTAATTTTATAGAAGAAAACCTTTCGAACAGTGTTAGTCCATAAAGTTCTCACCTATCGGGCTGCGATTGGATCATGTATTTAATCATTCCTATAACGTAAAATTCGATTAGCGTGGAACGTATCTAAGCATTATAGGGGGGTCTACTTGTATATTAATATTAAATAAAAAGATAACTAGTAACAGCTATTTAATTATGATATACCATATTTATTCTAATAAACAGGCAACTGCAGAATGAAACAAAAAGTTATAGACAGCATGCTCTAATTGTAAGCACACTGTCTATTGAAGGAAGATAAGGCTTACCATAAACTAAAAAATTGCTCATTTTATTCAGTGTTATCTTAGGTTGAAAAGTACAAATGATCTCAGTGGCATGTTGTTCAAATAATAATAAAGTAAAAAATTTATGAAATTTATTCCATTAATAGTTAAAGCTGAATAACAGTCACAGCCAATCCCCAAAAAACAGAAATAATAATCACTCTATGGTAAACAGTGCAACTTCAAGATGAAAAAATTTATAGACCATGTGCTATTTATTAGAATAAATGCAGTAATATAGAAATATGTTGCAATTCTTAGATATTTCAAATAATAATGTGTCATCAATAAGTTACTATAATTTCCTGAGTATAAATTGCAGAAAGTTATTAGAATAAAAAGAAAAACATTGTGATAATCTGCATCACTTTATATCTCAAACCCTGAAGTTATTGAAATTTTTCACTTAACCTGTATGCAGTTTTGACATCAGTTCAAACATTCAATTTTTTCCTTTTTTCTTTCATTTTATTTTTGTTAAAAATTCATTGTAGTTATAATTTTAAGATAAGTCAATGCAAAAAATGAAATATTTAAGACAGAACTGTCCAAACTGCAATACATTATAAATACAAAAAAGCCACTTAATGACAAAATCTTTGTATTGTTTCACTTATTTTCTGTTTTATTTATTAACTACTAACAACAAATGCTAAACTAAACTTGGAAAAATTAAATAAAAAAAACCATTTCAATGTTGTTTCCATCCATTTATCAAATGTCTTGGATTCAAAAGTTGATTTGCTCAACTTTTCTTTATTGTAGAGAACTATATCTTGTTCAATAAAAGATAACTTTACATGATAAACACCTGATAAATTGTAATTGACAGGCTATCCAACAGAATGTTAAAATTCTATTTCATTCATCCAATTACCGTTCAGAAAGCAGTAATAAATGAAACTATACTAGATGGACACTATAAAAAGATTTATTTATTCTTCATTGCACAATACAAAGTCACAGAGAACTACATATCAACAAATAACTGACTAATGCTGTTTGTTTTACCAATATCTTTATTATTCTATCTGTAACAAGCTGATCAAATTCTTGCACTAAAATACTTTATATCTGTGATATTTATAGATAAAATGAGCTTGATAAATAAACAATGCACAATGAACATCATTAAATTACCTGTGTACATAAATGTCTGCACCTATATCTAAAAATCCAATTTGAATGAAATCTGGGAAGCATACTTACAAAATGTACAGAACGTAATTTCAAAAACAAGAGTAAATCATTGTCAATAAAAAATGTAATGCAGTGGAGAGCAAGAAAATGTTAGCCAATATAAATAAGCAATATAGTTCTCTTTAGATATAGCTCTTAATTTTCTATTTCTAAACATCATAAATACATGAAGTAAATGATAAATATAAAGGAATTAAATAAAATGTGTAGCTATTCACTTATACAATAATGTTCTCATGAATGTTCACTTATAGAGTGTTCTTAAAAGAGAGTAAAGAGATTAAAATTACATAATAGCAAATTCATAAGTAGAAAGTAGTATATTAGGAATGGCATTATACTGTCTTTCAGATTTGCCTTATCAAAAAACATAATATAAAAACTGATTTCAGGTCATATATAATTAAAAGTTGTAAGGTAAAGATGAGTGAAAGCAGTTATGTAATCAGAAATGCACTTTCTTTATGAACTATATTTTTCTCGGATAGTAACTTTAAAAATGAATCTTTACTACAAAATTCTTCTCTGCAAATTCTATAAACATACATTATCTACAAAGTCTTATTTTTATCTAATCTAACCTTTGTATGTACAGTAGCTACAAATAGTCTAAATATAAACATTTTAATTAAAACAACCTATCTTTACATAAGTTATTAACCTATTATAATATTTTGTGATTATATTCTACTAAATCACCAAATACTACAATATAAATTTTTAGTTGTTTTTAATTAACATCATTAGAAAATAATATATTTTTATTATATGCTAGTTAAAGAATTNATGATTTTGAATCTCATGTTATGAATCATGTGAAAAATTATAGGTAGTAATACCATATGAACCCTAAATAATTGTGTAGAACTCCACTAATTTTAATAAATAATACAAAGTAATTTGCTACTAGAGGTAGACGTTAGTAAATTAGGTTAGTAAATAGATAGTAAATTTATAAATATTTTTTGACTAATTACTGTTTCATTATCAGTGGATTTTAGAAGAATACTATATTTTCAACTCAATTAATAAGTAATCTTAAAGTGTTAAAAGTCAAAAGTGGAGTGCTAGTGTTAGAAGGAAGCCCAAAGAGATAGATGTGTGTAAAGTAAACAAGCAGAAAAGATTGTTTATGACATTGGCACACTGATTGCTGATTTTATCCGAATCTACGTATTTGTCCTTCCTAATGACATAGTACTCTACTTTTCACTTTTGATAGCTGAGAATGATCCATTGAGTCAATGATCCAAATGTTGGCATTCTTTTAAAATCCCACTGGTAAAAGTGCAATAATTAGTTCAGTAAGTTATCACAATGGCTACTATATCATTTTCATTATAAAAATTTGTTTACAAAGCTAAGTCACTTCATAATAATGTACTCAATATACATAAATTTCTCTTTATGTACACCGAGAAGAGAGATGTAGAAGCAATTAATTCTGACAAAAGTTTCACAGACAATTGTGATATATATTTCTAAATTCTTAAATTTAAGTCATATAACAGCAATTCATTAGCTTAATACCAAAGTTATATTTCATTAAAACATTAAAATTTTTGAAGCATGTTTCATCACAGACGAAACAAACAAAAATTGTCAAAAAAGTCAAAAATTAAAAGAAAAAAATGAAATGTTTTTAAATTAATGTGTTTTTGATTATATGAACATATTACTGATTGTGTGATATAATGTGATTGGATTATATGAACATATTACTGATGTAACTAAAATGCTGAAATATATAAAGGAATTGCACTGATTTTATAAAACACAGTAAAACATCATTTTACAAACTTAATTTGTTCCTAAAAGTTATTCGGAAACCAATCTGTTCTCAAGCTGAAACAAATTTTCAGTTTGAGAACAATGAAAAATGAATTAATCCATTACTAACCCCAAAACAAAACTTTCTTTTTTACCGTTTTAGGTGTATTTCATGCATAAAATGCTTATAAAGGCAATATAATATTACTTTATCTATATACTGTATATACCCCATTGTCGCGTCTATAATGTTATCCATTGCCTAAAACGCCCACTAGGGGCGCCCTAGCGATGATTTTAAATTAACAATAAATTATATTTATTTGTAATAGGAATTTATTATTTATACCACGGAATGGTATAAATAATTATTATNACATGAAGAAATGAAAGCTCTCTCTCGGCTAACTTAGTAAAGTAACAAAAAATACTACGCTACCGAAGCTTTATTCATTTTATGATGCTAGAACAGAACACTATAACATTATCTTATGTATACGTGTAAATAATTTAATTATATACAAAAAGAATTTTAAAATTAACCTTTTGTCAGGTGCAACCTGTCCTCAAGATGGTATTTTTTTCTTATAGACACCATTGCTTCCAAATGCATGTGATCAGCTTGAAGAGAGGAGTATTCTCAAAGGGATGTCTGTACTAAACAATACCAGAGTGTAGAGTGTTTTGATTTTGGAAAACAGTTACTTTTTTCAGAAGAAATACAGTATAACCCATCCTTATTATATATTACACCTGCTTATGTTATGTGGATGTGTGGAAAAGATGTAAGTAATTCTTCCACTTTTTTCTGCTATTTTTATTTTCCTTATCTTACTTTT